CCCTGAAGTATTCAGATTGCTGTTAACATTATTTATTCTCTGAGCTTAAATCGAGGGGAAAAGTATCTGTTTAATCTCTCATAAAATAGGTAAAATTTTCCATTCTAATATTGAAACTCAGGAACAACTGAAAATATAAAATTGATCCATGGCCCCCAAATTATCTTCAAATGGTAGTAAAAGGGGAGTGCTCAAAAGAATAACAACACAAATAACAAAAAAAATAAAATGCACGCACGCAAATTAAAACAACCCTTCTCCCAAAATAAAAGCCTGTTTTTCAAGCTACTTTCATTATCAGCCATTTTCTTTAAGACATTTCCTAAAAGTCAGTTGCATTTGACAGTGGAGTGTTTTTTTTCTGGGTACTTCTCATGGCTGGCTAGATGATTTTACAAAATTATAGCTCAGGAGTTGGGCGGAGTTGCATGTCTAGTTGTCTATCTCTACCTGCGGTATTGATCTAGACGTGGTGAGCAGTGTTTGGTTGTCTTGAAGTGGAAGAGTGTGTTTGGAGCACAAGTCAATTACGTAATGACTCTCACTGCTCACTGTCTAGTGAGTTGTGCCATCACTGTGCAGCTGTGATTGTGTGCCCAGGTAACAATTCACACCTGAACAGCTGAATACATACTCACATCCAATTTCATTAACTTTTCAGTAAATATGTGATTTGTGGTACATGAAAAAATGTTTCTGTTCAATAACTAATTTAAGTGTTTTTTAAATTTTGCCTGTGAGAATGAATAGTCTGGTCAACTGATATGGCAAAACATGAATAAGAACCCATTATAAAATACTCGAAGTGGTTAAAGTCCTTGGAAAACTGATGGTTTTATGTTTTTCATTTCAAAACTTTACCAAAGATGGTTCTATAAAAATAATATATACTATTTTTTATGTGTATACTAGTATATATATAGTTAATTCTCACCCAAGGATATTTTTTCCAGTGATTTTTAGAGAGAGTAGAAGGGATGGAAGGGGGAGAGAGAGAGAGAGAGAGAGAGAGAGAGAGAGAGAGAGAGAGAGAAAGGGAGAAAGAGAAAGAGAAACATTGATGTGAGAGAGATACATCAATTGATTGCACCCTTACCATTCTGGGGATCGAACCTACAACCCAGGTATGTGTCCATGCGTGGGAATTGAACCTGTGACCCTTTGGTGCATGGGCCGATGCTGTAACCACTTAGCAACACTGGCCAGGGCATCATGTATATATTTTAATGGAAATATATTGACCACATTTATAAACATGCAGTTATTAAAGACAGACTAAGGAAATTTACACAGAGTTGTATAAATTATAACAACTTATAAGGTGACCACACTCTAAAATACAGCATGTCTCAAATAAATGTAGACACACTTTGAATAATTAAAAAGCCAGCATACACTTCATTTTCAAAATGTAATAGCATGTGTAGCTCTCAGCCGTTAAAGTGTGTCGACATATTTTTGGGACACACTGTATGTATGTTTCATACAGTGGGAAATAGTGGGTACCAATGGTAATTATCTATAATAATAAAAGCATAATATGCTAATTAGACCAGATGTCCTTCCAGACATCCTTCCGGATGACCTTCCGGACAAAGCCAGGGCTGCGAGGCAAGCCCAGCTCCCGGGTGCCTGCAGGTGGCCGGAAGGAAGCCAAGGTCCCCAGTGGCAGCAGCCAGGGGAAGGAAGGCCTACTCTTGCACGAATTTCGTGCATCGGGCCTCTAGTTCTAAAGCAAAGAGGAACATGCAATAAATATCAGAGTGAAGAGAACTGCTCTTTGCATATACCTTTAAAAGGTAATTTACCTTCTTTTAGATTTTCTTCTTATATGTCAGTGCCACACTTCCTCCCAAGCTTAAAAGAGCCAATGCTCCAATGTTTCTCAAACCTTCACGTTAAAACCATTGAGTGGCTTTTTATCTTTTGCCTTAATAAGCAAGTGGTAAAATGAGATCACCGAGTTTCATATTATAATTTTGCATTTTAACCTTCTTTACCCATTAGAAAAAAGAAGCACGCCATTTCATTGAAGTCAGCCTGTTGGTACACATCATTTTTAACACTATTTTTTCAGTGTACCCCAAAATAGCATTGTGTAGTATATCATTGGTTTCTTTTATTTTCAGTACTAGTGACTCGGTGCATGGATTTGTGCACCTTGAAAGGAAATTAATTAGAAGGTGGCTGGCAGGATGGGACTGGGCAAGACGGGCTGGATACACCCTGGAGCCAACCTCCTGCAGTCCCTCCCCAGAGTCTGTGGAGTGAGCCAGGTCCCTCCGGCAGGTGGGGTCCCTTGGCCTGGCCTGCAGGGATCAGGCCAAAACCGGCTCTCTGACATCCCCCAAGGGGTCCTGGAGTGCGAGAGGGCACTCTGCAAAGTTGCTGTCGTAAAGGGTGTAGAACATAAATGCAAGTGTGCAGTAAACCAGATTCGGGGCTGACAGTGCTCCAGCAATAACATAACCCACAGCCAAAGGTGGAATTGTGTGGACCCGTGAGGAATTGGGCTCCCTTCTCTCTGGTTTTGGGGTGTGTCATCCAAGAACCACTGCTGCCAAGTCACTGCAGCTCGGCAGCTCCTGCATTGAGTGTCTGGCCCCTGGTGGTCAGTGTGCGTCATAGCGACTGGTCGGACGGTAGGAGGGATACTTAGCATATTAGCCTTTTATATATATAGATATGCAGTCATTGTATTTCATTGTTTTACATGCCTACCTCCTTTTGCTAGATTGAGAGCTGCTTAAAGACAGAGAATATGTTTTATTCCCATTCTTTATCATCTCCATAATGCATGGCATGTAGTAGGTGTTCAATAAATATTTATTACATTAAAAATGCTCTAGATATGCTTGCAAATGACCATATCCATATGTTTTAAATTCAGAGTACAATATTCTCTTTTGAGTCTTATTTCAGACTTGTCTTTTATTTTAAAGACAGGCAAAAACTTATTTTTCTGTGTTAAGCTAACATGGGCATTTAAAAAAAATAATACAACACTATGATTTTCACTAAACTAGGAAAGGTTATTTTGGAGCTGCTGGGACGTTAGATATTTGAAGTAGTAATTACTTCCTCCTTAAATGTTACCTTTCAGAGTCAAATACTGCTTTCCTGCTGCAGTTCAACTTTTTACTTAAAGGAAAATGTCTTTTATTCACAATTCGCCGTGCTATAATATTATATGTGGTCATTCTCCTTTTCATTTGTTTTGGTAGCACTGTCAAGTCAATGAAACATCATCAAAGTAACGATAGTAGCTTACCCTTTTAGTGTTTATTCTGTGCCAAGCATTTCACTAAGCATGTTACATGAGCTACGTCATTTAATAACCACATACAATTTTTGATGTGTGTGATTTTACATCTATCTATCTATCTAAGCTTAGGAGGGCAATTTTCAACTGATAAGCAGTATGGTCAAGAAAATAATGCAAAGATAGCCACCTTCAGATTTTGCATTCTTGGTTCTTTAAAGTTCTGAGTATCCAGCAACAAAATTTAATACCCTATTTTGCATAATCTGGAACCAGGAAGCACTTGTGTTATCATTTATAAAACAAACAGCATAGGCTGGGTTGTGCTAGCAAGTCACTGCAACTAAGACTACAAGGGTATTTCTTCTACATTGAATGGATGAAATATGAACTCTTACCTGATGATCATCCACACTTCATGTTGAAAGTGACTGCTATCGTTTATAACTTACCGTGGTAGACTTGGGTTTGGTTCCAGAACTGGTCACTGGGGTGGAAGATGGTAGGTCAATGGACTCGGCGTTAGAAGACAAATGTATTGGTGTCTGATTTACTGAAATGGTATCTGCTCCGCTCTCAGATCCGGACTCCAGGTCCTATTAAGAAAATGCATTTATATGAAGGACATGCACATGTTCTCTTCATGCCTTTCTCCCTGCTACCAGCACCTTCTCACCTCTTCCTTCTAACACACACTGACACACTAAAGAGTTGCTGACAACTGACATTGAGTGTCACCCATAATCATGCATTATTATTATGTTTTATAATCCTGCATTATTTTGTAACAATTGTACTCTTCCAAGGCCCTGATTTTTAGAAAACAAATACTAGAGAAAGAGGTAATATACAACTTTGGGAATTTAACAGCTGATTGTGAAGGGGACATACAAACGGCTAACAGGTACATAAAAAGATGTTCAACATCACTAATTATCAAGGAAATGCAAAATCAAAACCACAATGAGATATCACCTCACACATTTAAAATGGCTGTTATCAGAAAGGCAAGTGATAAGAAGTGTTGATGGGGTCTTGGAGAAAAGGGAACCTGTGTACTGCTGGTGGGAATGTCAACTGGTATAGCCACTATGGAAAACAGTACAGAGGTTTCTAAAAAAAATTAAAACTAGAACTGTCATATGATTCAGTAATGCTACTTCCAAAGAAAACAAAGTCACTGTTTAAAGTCACTGTTTGCATCCTTATGTTCATTGCAGCCTTATTCACAATAGCTAAGAAATGGACACCTAAGTGTCCAATGATAGATGAATGGATAAAGAAGATATGATATTTGTATATATATGTATATATATGCACACGTGAATACAATGGAATATTACATATATACAGGTATGTACAATAAAATATTACTTAGCCATAGAAAAGAAAATCTTGCCTCTCCTGAGAACATGATGGAACTTGAAAGCTTTAGGCCATGAAATAAGTCAGACAGAGGCACGAATACTGTATGGTCTCACTTAAATGTGGAATCTAAAAAAAAGCCAAACTCATAGGACAGAGTAGAATGGTGATTGACAGAGGTTTGGGAGGGGAGAAGGATAGGGAGATGTTGGTCAGAGGGTACTTATTTCCAGTTGTAAGATGTATAAGTTCTGGAGATCTAATATTCAGAATGGTGACTATAGTTAATAATACTGTATTACATACTTGAAAGTTGCTGAGAGTAGCTTTTTAATGTTCTCAACACACACACACACACACACACACAATTATAATTATATGAGATGATGGCTGTGTTAACTAACCTTATTGTGGTAATAATTTTGCAATATATAAGTGTATCAATTTATCATGTTGTTCACCCTAAGTGTACACTATATTATATGTCAGTTATATCTCAATAAAGCTGCAAAATAGAAAATAAAAAAGTGGGATGCAAGAAGTAAAAAAGACATATACAGCAATAATGAATACAAAAAGGAATCTATATTCTTTAAATGTGTGTGTAAAACACATAACCCTAACCAAATTTCTTATGCCATGAGTAATTTTAGGTCAGTGATAATCAATTCTTGTTGGTTTTTTTTTGCATGGAAAAGACAACACTTTACCATAAGAGAAATATTAATTAAAATTTAAAATTGAGTCAACATTAAATGAATAGTCACAAAGAGCAGGTAATTTATAAACTTCAAATGCATAAGTAGCAGGTAAATTTACTAGTATAAGCCATTTACATTCAGCCTTCATGTACATCAGAAATCTTTCGCATTAATTTTACCTTGCTTATGAATTGATTAGATAAATAAACAGGTAACTTTGTATCTTTCTAACAATACAATAATTTTGAAGTTAAATGACAATTCTTTAAAAATCTACCATTTATATGTTTTATCTTTTAAAGACAATACGTTACGGCTATTTTCTGCCTCAATTTCACCAACTCTATGTAGAAGGTAAGTTATCATTATTACTTGATAGATGATGAAGCCGAGGCTTAAGACAACGAACTTGACCAAATTCACATTCTGTGTCGGAGCTGGCATTAAAACTCAGATCTATTCGACCCCAACTTGTTAGGCTCTATCAAGAGAGCTCCTTGAAGTCTTTGCCTCTACCCTTATTTTAATATGTATTTTTCACCTTGCAGACATTCTTAAAGATTCCAGCCTATATTATTCTTTAAATATTTTATTAGAAGTAGAATTCGCTCCAGTATTTTCTCATAAGGAATCTCAGTCTGAGCTCACTGTTTCATTGCAAGTCTTGTCCCCCCTGCTAAACTGTAAGTTTACAGTGCAGTACGAGGGTGCGGCAGAGGGAGTTTCTCTGAATCTGGGACAGTGCTTCTTGGTGGACAATCAAGGTCATAATCATTCTGTTATAATCTCTTTAGTCCATGGCACAATTATCAAAAGTAATGGAAAGCGCCTGTGGAAAATATTTTGGCGATGAGAGAATTTTAAAATTAGCTTTAAATACCAAGGAACAGAAATAAAAAAACAAGGGATGACCTAAAAAAAACCCATATTAGACCAAAAAGAAGTTTTGAGGGCTCCAGGATAAATTTTATTCATTTTTAGCCAGCGTCTGGTATGAGTGAGTACATGGGAGAAGGAAAGGGAATTAACAAACACCCAGTTGTACTCTCTGCCAGACCTGTGCAATGCATCTTACATACGTTCTTTCATTGGCTCCTCCCAACAAGCCATTAGGTAGGAAACAATATCTCCTTTTCACGCAAACGTGAAGGTAAAAAAATTAAAGGATTTTCTTGTGTTCTCAGACATTTAGCTGTAGAACTGCCCTCTGGACCCAGGCCTGCAGACCCCAACGTTCATAATGTTTCTACTATATTACTTTGCCTTTTCCATGTATCTGTTGAACAGAATACTTGGAAGTAGATCTTGATTTACAGAATGAGCCCTTATTAGGCAATGGTAGTGATATTCTATGAATGACATATAATACAAAATCCAATTTATATTTTAAAGAGAGGTAGAAGATATAGAGATAGGCAAATTCCAAAATCATCACCCACATTTGCTCCTGTTTTTTTGTCTTTACTATTCAACAAAGGAACATGTCTAACAGGTAAGGGCTATGTTATTCTCTGACATGAAGACAACAATATGGAGTTGTATTTAGCAGAAATATGAGCTGTGGGTTTTCTCCTACATATTTGGGGATTGGGTAAAGTTTAATGTAGAGGGGAAAGTGGAGAGAATAAAGAGATAGTAAGAGATGAACAATTCACACCAGACAATTTAAAAAGAGAAAATGTGTTCTATGCCTACATTAATAGCAAAGAAGTACTAAGGATTAAGGACCTCCTATTGAAAAATATGGTTATGTCTGGCTTTAAAAATATTTATGAACATGAGTAGGATACTTCTATATACCCTTCCTATGTAAACAAGTTTAAACATCCCTTCTTATTGGTCTTCAGACTACTTTCATTGTGTTTCCACCAGGGATGAAATAATTGATGTCTGGGAAGACAGAGGAGATTGAGGGAAGACTTCACTGTAAAGAAAATATTTGAGATGAATCCTGAAGGCTATGAAAAAATTATCCAGAGCTTATAGGCAAAAATAAAAATGCCATTTCTACTGGCTTTCTGGTCGAAGTATTTCATTTCATATTCACTTTTAATTATTTTTTTTTGTTCAAGCTATTAGATTTCCATTATAATCAACTAGAGCAAACAGTGTGGTGTAGTGGTCACATGACATGGCTCTGGATTAAGACTGGCTGGGTTTGTATCCCGTCTCTGATACATATAATTACTAACTTCTCCATGCTTTTAACTCACTTGAAAAATGTTGTGAGGAATAATATGTTAATATATGTCAAAAACTTATAATAATATCCAGTATATGCTAAAATAATACTAAAATTATTTTAATTTGTTTATTGACTTTGAAATATTCTGTCCCACAGTCAGAATGAGTATTGAATAACTACAGAATCAACTGTAGAACTACTGTATACTAATGAAAAGATTTGATATAGGACAGTTCTATTTTGAAAGGTGCTCAAATTTATATATAGGATTGTCTGTCCCTTTTCTCTTAGGTAAATGCATAATTTTTTGACTTAATGTGTTCATTATTGCATAATGAAAATAACAGATTAATTGAAAAGGAATGCATGGCTTAATTATAAATACATTTACCATCACATTTGCTAATTTCCAAAATATAAGCCATTTAATATGGAACTAATATTAAATATGAAAAGTGTATAGTCAGTCCAGAATCTGTGTCTTTCAAATTTTGAGTGTCAAAATCTCTGAGTAGTGTACATCTTATATAAAATTAATACACAGTAGAACAAAATTATCACCTCTGCCCTACTTATTGTATTCACTGAGTTAGTTTTAGAGTATTTTCAAATTGATCTAAATTCTTTCTTGTAGTATTCTGGATGGGTCTCTCCACCCATCCACCCATCCACCCATCCACCCATCCACCCATCCACCCATCCATCCATCCACCCACTCATCCATGCAGCAAATATTTATAATCTTCTACATGAAATATAAATTTGTAGGCACTGGAAATAAAATACTAAATAAGATAGACATAACATTGCTAATTGTGTTTATAGCATATCATTGAATACTGATAATTAGGGAAACAACCATATGAAGAGGATTTAATCACTTAGGAGGCATAATTTCCCAGAGTGAACCTCTTTCTCTCTAACTAATAATAACCATTTTCTTTTGAATCGCACCCTTCTCTTATGACTGCATGAAACACAGAAGTATTTGAGTGAGTGTTATGGAACATGTTTAGGGTCGCATGTGGGTAGATGCTGCCATCAAAGATGTTTCATTTGTAAGAGGGACTGCATGAAGTAAAGCGATAGCATGCTCATGGGAACGGAAGTAGAAAGTGGAAGGCTCACAGGGACGTGCCGCCGCAGTTGGTTGGTGTGCTGGATGTAGAGGAGCTGGTGCTGAGAGCGTTCTCAATGTCCTGGTCAAGTTGGTCCAGTTTCATTATTAGCAGCACCATGGAGTCAAGCCGCGCCCTGTCTCGATCTTCTTTTATTTCCTGAGGAACAGAACATGTTGTTATGAATCTAAAAGGCCATTTCTTGGAAAGAATAAGCAGTGCCCTGTTCTTCCATGTGACAAAAAGGACACTGAATAATAGGCAGTCTTCTACTTAAGGGGAAAGAGAAGTTCTGTTCTGCACCATCAATGGTCTCTTCATTGGGAAGATACTAACCAACTGCCAAGAAAGCATTTGACATGAATATTAAATGCATACCCTTTGGATCAAGGCACAGTGAAAAGGAAGTACAACATCAATGAGCACTGATACATATGTACGACTTTCCAATGAATTATTCTTAGGAAAAGTTATACTTCTCTTGTCTAGGACAAATCCATTGTAACATACTACTAAATTATTTGTGGTTAGACATTTAAGGGGACACATTAGAGAATATTTTTGGAAGGCTACTTCTGAGTATAGGAAAAAAATAGGAACCAAATCAAACGAGGCAGGTTTTCAGTTTGGGCAGAGAACAAGTTTTTGTTTCTTTTCTTTTTTTTTCTTTTTTTTTTTCTTTTTCTTTTTTTTTTTTTTTTTTTGCATGGGGCCATTTTCCTAGTGTTGCTTCAAGCTTTTATTGTCAATATTTTTTAGCAATCTTCTTTCCTACTCACAAACTTTTGAAAAAAGCCCACACAATCATATATATTTTTGTAAATTATGTTGGTTACTCATTCTAAATTCTCTATAATATAGACATATATTAATGAAAATACTGTTGCTTATAGAAATAGCTAAAGCTTCTTATTTACTAGAGCTATTTGGGCATGACTGCTTACTATTCTTGGATGTTCAAATCAAGTCAACTAATATTAGAAATCTTCTAAATTCCTTGTGTGTTGTGTAAGGTATCAGGGTTGGGTAGAGTATTGGGGGGAAAAAAGATCAGGAAAAGCGTAGTAAGATTCTATTGAGGAAGCAATGGACTCAGGGAGAACCCTTTGAGGGAAATTATCATTTGTGACTCATGTTGCCATCTTCTCATCTGTCTGAGATATCTACCTAGGTGAAATCAGCTTGGAAAGGACCACCAGTGGCAACCTCAAAGGGAAAGAAATCACAACAGAAGCCTAAAGAGTGTGGGTATAAGGGAACAGGTTGGAGCCTTTGCTTAGGTGACGGCATTACTAGTGGCATGACTGAGCTGACTATCTGAATCAGATCTTTTAGTTTGTTTTTTGACTTTTTTCTTTTAATCTTCCTACATTCCCAAGCCACTGTTAGGAAGAACCATAAAAGAATAAGGACTAGGGCAATTTCATGGATTAATCTAATTCTATAGGGGTCTCTGTACCTCAAACAACTAGAGCAGATTGTTAATGTTATAAAGAATTATCTTTAAGATATCAAAGAATTGATTTCCTAGATTAAGTTGGTTAAAGAATCATTAATTAAGTTAATATATAGATAAGTTATTTGTGCTTATCTATATATTAACTTAATGATTAAGCTAAACTTGTGCTTCGTTAACAGATTAATGTCAAAGACATTAATTTTGAGAATAAATTAAGAATAGATTATTCAGTTTAATTCTCTTCTTGATAATCCAGAAAATGGAAAACTCTGACTGAATAGAAGACTCAAAGTCCCCTTAATTATTCCTTCAATGTGTTTGCTTGTATAATTCCTTTCCTTTAAAACCAAAGATGTCTGACAAGGTATTGTTCTTTGCATCTCTTTAGTCACAGTTTTTGTGTGACTGTCTTTTGCTTCCCAGTTGTAACATCTTCAAGCACAAAAGTTACATTTTTCTACCTGGCACACATAGAGTCCAATTACCCACACTGCCCATGCAAGATGTTTTCAGGGATAAGAATAATGAAGTCAATAGGAGCCAGTGAAATAACACCTCCCAAAGCCTTAGAAAATATGTTTCGATATTTTTCCAGCTACTAAATTAATGTTGGATAAAGCAGTATATCCTGTAGCAGTGGTCTCAGAAACAATTTGTTTTTGAATTAACTGGATGTTGAGATTGTGCCTTAAAACCACTTTCAAATCCATGGGCTGAACATCAAATTATTTGAAATGATTTGCCAAAAGAAATAAAACCAAACAGCTCTGGTCTGCAGTATTTCTTTAGAGAAATAGCCTATTGTTTTTCCCTTTCCTTCATGATGCTTCTCCTTCATCACCAGTCATTACATTCAGCCTGAAGTGTCAAGTACACAGGTCAGTAGCACATGTTACATACACGTCCATAAAACTTCACGAAATAGAGTTGACTACAAATCAGATGCTTTGGATAAATATTATTGTTCTTGTTTTTAAAGCTCAAGTATTAATAGTTTTCAAGGTGCTAACCTTTCATACGTCCATGGCTGAGCTCCAGTAAATAGCTTATGCCTGAAAACAGAAATGTGCACTTGCAGATTTTGGCTACATTCACTTCTACAGTGGAACTTTCATTGCATGCTGTCATTCCCATCCATGAAGAGAAACTAACTTCTTAAGAAGTGAAGCTGCCTATTAACAAACTTTTCAGTATTTCAGTAACTTAAACCCCTTAAATCAAGGCCAAAATGCCAAATTCTCTTCCCTCCCATCTTTCCTTCCTTCTCTCCTGCAGTCATAGCTGTATCTAACCACTATTAAAGGGATATAATATTCGTCAGTGAATAACAAGTATAAAATCGCTGCTTTCCTGAATATTATAGTCAACCATGAGAAGATGAACAATGAAAATTAACACATTCTCAAACAAGACAAATATATGAAGAAAATAAAAAGGGTAACGAGATACACAGTAACTTTGGGGGTAGTGTCTCACTTTGTATAGGGTGGTCCAATCAATTGCAAAAAACCTTTAAAACATCTAGTCCAGGTCTTTACTTAACAATTATCCAAGACATGTTCATTGGCCATGTACTATGTGCTATATATCATTCTCTAGGAAGCTACCTATTTCGTATTTGTACAGTTACAATCTTTAGGAGTGTTACAAAGTCAAATTCTGCCTTCCTCTAACTCCCCAGATCCTTCCTGCAGAACTAGATAGCATAAACAGTGTCTGTTCCCTGAAATAGCCTTTCAATTATTTGAAGAACTAAGTTATGCCCACTTTTACCTTTTCTAGGTGGATCATCTTCAGTTCTTTTCATTATTTCACATATAACATGCTTCCAAATCTTCACTAGTTTTGTCAACTGTTCTCTGGACATGATAAAATTTTGTCTATGACCCAAGTAATGGTTGGTGCCCAGAGTTAACATATTACTGTATGTGTTCTCTGACCAAGGCAGAGGAGGCAAGTACCCTCCTCCCCATCATGTTCTATACCCTTTTTAATGCAGCCTAAGATGAAGGGCCTGTTTAGAACATGGGCAGGCTATTCTTATTGGGATAGCCATAATCTGCTTTTTGAATGAAGAAACAGTGTTTAGTGGACTGTGAGCTGACCTTGAACCGACAGTATGATCTATGCCTCCTTTTCCCAATATGTGACTGTGTCCTGCTAAGAACAGAAACATCCTGTTGTCTCGAGAATGTAACCAGCTGTTGTCAAGGTATAGATAATATATGCAGCTACCATGGGAAAAAAATCTCTTTCAGACACAAGTCAGTGGCTACTTAGTCAAATCAGGAGAGAGACTTCTGTTCAATTTGATTTGTTATCAAAACCTAATATGGCTAAGCCACCTGGTGCTCATTGAGAAATTTGAAAGATGCTCCTTATTTATTTCAACAGCTATTGGGTCCATGGGCAGTGAAGCCACTTTGATCACCTGGCATCTGAGGGAGAGATATACAGGGCTTTCAGGGGGTCGTTCTCTCCAGGAAGCCTCTGAACAGGGGCCTATACTACCCTTCTTTCCTTGCATTGGGGGAAGAGAATTCCAACCCGCCTCTTTCTTCAGACGCTCTTTATTGAACAATACAGAACACAGCACAATTGGGGGGTGGTGAGGCGATGCAAATGACCAGGTATTTTACAGACTGGGCAGATATGAAGACCAGTGAAGGGGGGTGCGTGCCTCCCCCAGAGGCACACAGGCTGTTTTCCTAATCTAAGTATTTGGAAGAAAAGCAAAAAAAAAAAAAATCAGTAATACACCCAGATGCTTCCAAAGAGTGGATATTTGGCTGAGCAAATACAGCATTGCCTGAATGTTCTGCTTGTCAATGAGTTGTGGCATCAGAGACAGCCGTAATAAATTAAAGGCTAGGCCAGGAATAGAACTAAGACTTCCTGATTCATAATCCAAGGTTCTGGCTCCTACACTGTCTTTGATTCCATAGGCATCTTACTGGCTATTCTGGGCTGGTCATGCTCCCTGCTCCCCCGTGAAAGAAAGGGACCTTTTAGCAAAAGACTTGGCTCAACTTCCTTCTGAATTATTTGATCTGTAGCCAGCTGGACTAGTATGAAATCTCATATTAGTGTTATACATTTTATTTGACAATAAATTCCTCATTCTAGACTTTCCTTTCTTAAAATAATATCCTGCCTAAAGAACCAGAAGTTTATTTACTCTTTTTTTTTTCACAAGCAGTAAAGATTTTTCATTTGAATCGACAGTAAGATAGAGTTAATATAATTATCCTATGTCAGAATTTCTAGGCAAGTTAAACAAAGTCAGCCTTAATTTTTTATTCTGGTGCATTTCAAGCTGCAACTTATGTAGAATGGGAGGTAAGAAAACAAACCAGCAACTATTTCCTATTTGTCAGAGATAGTCTGTTCAACCACAAAATCTTTGCATATTATCTTTAACGAATAACATGTGCCACTATCATTTTAATATTAGGTGGTGAAGAGTGACAAGTAATCCTCATTTGAAGTTGCTGCAAGGAATCTTTTAACTGAAATGTAAATGGTGGCCTTATATTGAATGTTTATGTTCACTCTCTATTTATCTCCTCCCACTTATAAGGCCTGGGAAGAAAATAGGTCTCTCCTTTGCTTGATTTTTAAACTCCAACTAGACTTCGGATGGAGCGTTTCTGAGCTGGGGCTTTTGTAAATTGCACACAGAGGCTCCTGAATAGTTTCA